ATGGACAGCTCGGCGATGAACTTCCTCTTCGACGTCGACGCGGACCCCTACGAGACCCAGAACCTCTACTACGACGACGCCTACGTCCACGTCCTCCGGGGCTTCGAGGACGAGGCCGCGCGCATCATGCGGGAGGAGTACGTCCACCGGACGCTCCCGCCGGGCTCGCCCGAGGGCGGCGCGGACACGATCGCCGCGTTCCTCGCGTCCTCGCCGACGAACGACACGGTCAAGCACGTCACGCCCTGGGACTGCGCCATGTCGTAAAGGTCCGTTCTTGTCGGGGCGGCGCGGGCGGCGCGGAGGCCGCGCGCGGCGCGGGTGCCGCAGGAGTGCTCGGAGGCGTGCGGCACGGTGGACCGCAGAGCGCTCTCTCAGAGAGCGCCTCGACGCGCAGCGCTGCACCGCACCCGTGCGCGCGCGCCGCAGCGCTCCGCACCGCAGCGCACGGCATCGCCCATCGCGTGCGACATCGCGCGCGCCGCCGCTCGCGCCATCGCGAGGCGACGATGCGCGCCTACGTGCCGTCGCACAACCTGAGCCGGAGCTACCGCGGCGGCGCGCGGGAGCGCGCGCCGCTCGTCGCGCGCGCCTGCGCCGAGACGCCCCAGCGCCACGGCGTGCCGTCGGCGGCGTCCGTCGCGCGCCTCGCGGCCGCAGGCGCGACGGCCGCGGAGCCGCTCGACGGCCTGCTGTGCGGCCGGTTCCGGATCACGAAGACGCTCGCCGACGGCACGTTCTCGCGCATCGCCCTCGTCGAGGACCGCCTCTTCCCCCACTGGCGGCGGCGCGTCGCCGTCAAGGTGCTCGCCGCGGGCTTTCGCGAGGTCGGGCGCCGCGAGGCGGCGGTGCTGGCGTTGCTCCAGGGCGCTCGAGGTCTGGCCATCCCCGAGTTCTTCGGCGCCCACGAGAGCGGGCCCCACTACGTCATCGCCATGGAGGCCTGCGGCCCATCGTTAGGAGAACTCGTGAAGACGTCGGGGCCCCTGGGCGAGCGCGACGTGCGCCGCGTGTCCTCTCAGCTCGTGGCGGCGTTGGCCTACTGCGGCGCGAAGCGCGTCATCCACGCGGACATCAAGCCGGAGAACGTGCTGTGCGCGAGGCCCGTGCTCGGCGTCGACGCCGAGGTGCGGCTCATCGACTTTGGGAACGCGATCCGGCCGAGCGAGGCGGTGCGGTACTACGACGATTTCGAGATCCAGTCGCTGGGCTACCGCGCGCCCGAGGTGCTCGCGGGCGTGCCCTTTGGGTACGCCATCGACATGTTCTCGCTGGGCGTCGTGCTCGTGGAAGCGGCGCTCGGGCGGGCGCTGCTGCGGCCGGCGCGGGCGGACCGCGGCGCGGCGCGCGCGGCGATCGAAGCCGCGCTCGGGCCGTTCCCCGCGGCGCGCTTCGCCGGCGCGCGCTTCGTCGTCGACGACCTCGGGAGCGCGCCGGCGCCCGCCGACGACGGCGACCGGCGGCGGCGGCACCGGGACGCCGTGCGCCGGCTCCTGCGCGACTTCCCGCCGCGACAACCGGGCGACGGCGCGTTCGCGTCCTTCGCCGCGGCCATGCTCGAGCTCGACCCGGACCACCGCGCGGCGCCCCGGGAGGCGCTCTTCCACCCGTTCCTCGCCGAC